CGTGCAACTTGAGGCAGATCGGAGGCTCGCTGCAGAAGTAATTATACGAGTATGTGAAATTCTTCAGCCTCGGCAAAGTGCAAATGCTCTCCGGAATATCACCGGACAAGTTGTTATGCGCTACATTTAGCTGCTCCAACAGCTTCATCTCCCCAATCGACTCTGGCAATGGCCCAACAAGATTGTTAGAGCTCACATCGAAGACCTTGACGTTCTTGAAATTGCCTAAATCGTTATTCAAACAACCCGTCAGTCCACTGTTCAAGAGAATAATTTGACTCAAGGTTCCAGCCATTTTTGAAAAACTCGACGGAATGCAGCCGCGGATGGCATTGTTGGCCAGGACAAGAACAGATACTGGAGAGTTCCCGAGGTTCTCTGGCAAGGACGATTGAAAATAGTTGTTGTTGATGAACAAAGCGTCGAGTTTCAGATCAAAAAGCTCGGATGGGATCTTCCCATGGAATTCATTATATCTGATATCAAGAAATTTGAGTGATGGTAGAGAAAAAACAACGGACGGGAACTCTCCGGTGAACTTGTTGTTACTGACGTCAAGCTCGAAAAGCAAGTGGAGTTTGCAGAAGCTGGAAGGCAAGGTTCCATGGAAGCGGTTGGAGTTGATGTGGAAAAGGGCGAGGTCGGCGAGGAGGCCGAGGTCTTCTGGTAAATAACCGGCAATGTTGGCGTGGTTGAGGTCAATTCCGGCAACTGTGGTGGTGTTGTGCGGGTCATTAGGGGCCGGAGCACAGTAGACACCGGTATAGTTGCAGACTTCTGGGCCGTACCAATTGGCGGTGAAGTCGTTGGGGTCGGAGGTTATGGCATGTTTCCATGCTTGGAGGGCTATGTATGCATTTTGAAGTCTCGGGTTTGGGATCAATGGAGCATTAGGAGGGTAAAATTGTTGAAAAGAGGGTTTAGTGAGAAGCAAAAAGAAGAAGAAAATGGCCCAAGAAAAGGATAGTGTTCTTAGAAATTGAGGGTTCTTCATTTTTGGAAGAAGAAAGATACCACAAAATGGTAATCGGGATGTGTATATATAGCGAAATTTTGACTAGTTTTGAAGAAGGGTGAATGGAGCCATCAATGATTTGTAAAAAAAAAAAAAAAAACAACAACCACAACTTTGAGGGCTTTGACCATATCTCTTAATGTTTTATTTTTCTGAATTTTTTCTATTAATTTTGGGAAAAATTTTGAGGTTATGATATAAAGATAGAGAATACATGATTTAATGGGATACAGATGGGGTTTATTTCATTTAAAATGTTGACTTTAACAAAGAAGCTAACCAGAAATTTCTTTAATTTCTTTGTATTTGTGAGACTTTTAAGTTTTCCTTGACTAATTTGCTTTTATCCATTTTACATTACTACACCTTTTCATTTAGAATAATAATAAAATGTAGAATTTTTACAGAAGCAAAATATCAAAGTAATTACCTAACATGAATTATATCATGTAAAATATTAAAAAATAAATTTTATATTATTTAACAATTAACTTTTTTATTTTATAAAAACTTACGATATTATATATAAATTAACTCATTTAATGATATGATTTATATTCTATCATTAATTTCAAATTTTAATCCTTTATGTAACTAATTTCTTTTTTTGCAAAGGAAATGCACCGGCAAGCAACGTGTTGTGGTGGATGGGTCATGGGTAGGACAAAGCTGGTGTGTTTGGATGATCTCTTTAGCACCAAATACACGGTTCTCTCAAAATTTGGACTAGAGTTTAAAATGTAGGCCAAGGTCATAAAGCTATACATTATTTTGTTCAAGTGTTTTTTTCTTCTTTTTTTTTGCAAGGATTCTGTTCGAGAGTTGATTTATTTTTGGTTGGAGACATGAAATGATTTGATATGTTTATTTTTATATTCATCATCCCAATCTGTGTTTGGGATTTGGCCATTCAGGTTTGGTCATCTGCTGACCAGATGCCGCCTTAGTTTATGAACAAGAGAAAGATGCCATTTGTTAATCATTTTGCCTAAATTGACCATTTTTTTTTTTTTGAAAGGTGAGTTTGAGAGTTAATTCTTCATTAACCAATCATTTTTATATTGTTAAATACATAATGTTAAATCAACTTAAAATTAGTTATGCAAATATGATTCACACATAAGAAAAATAAGTGAATTGATTGGTTGTTATTATTATTATTATTAATAAATTGAATTGATTGATTTTTATTTTTAAATATTTAAGGGTGGGACTCAAATTTTATATTTCTAAAACTTAACTGGAGAAATCTTTAATAAAAAAAATGATAACCACTAAATCATTATGGGTATTCTCGAATTGATTGGTTATCGAAGATACTAATTATACAAATTTATACCTTTGTGTACTACATGTATACAAACATACAACCTTTTTAAGCATTTATATATACCAATTATATTAAAAATTTCAAGTTGAATTATGTTCAAGCCACGCAAGGGAATCTATACGCTGAGGTTTTGAAAAGTCTTGCGTTCCAATTTCTCACTCTATAGGGGTAGTCATTAAGTACAGACGGAAATAACGACTGAAGAATTCATCCAACCATCACTCTCACCGTCGCTTTTCAGTGGTTAGCGATAGATAATATATTATA